GGCGAATGTAAGAAAAGTGAGGCGGCAAAGTCAGAGAAAATCATAAGCAGCCTACGTGTCCACTATTACCTCCTCAATGTCTAGCAAACAGGTTTGGGAAAGAGTCCGCAAAGCCTCTGGACTATATAATGATTATTCCTTTTCTGTTCTAGAAAAAGATGGAAAGTTGATTAGCACTAGAGAAGAAATAGCCAATGCTTTAGGTGATACATTTGCTGCTGTATCTGGCAGTAGCAATTACTCAAAAGAGTTTCTGCCCACAAAGATGCGCTTGGAAAGGATTCAAATCGACTTTTCCCATCCTAATGCAAAATCTTATAATAAAGATCTCACCATGTTTGAATTAAGAAATGTAATATCTTGCACTTATAGGATTTGCCCTGGTCCTGATGGCATAAGTTATCTGATGATAAAGCACCTGCTCTATGAATCTCTAGTGGTCCTTCTTGCTCTGTATAATAAGATATGGAAGGAACAAATTTTTCCTACTGCCTGGTGCAGGGCCTTTGTTATCCCTATAGTAAAATCCGGCAAGGACCCGAAAAATTCTTTAAATTATCGCCCCATCGCGCTCACTAGCTGCCTTTGCAAGATTATGGAAAAAATGGTAAATCACCGTCTCACCTACTATCTGGAGACTAATCATTGCCTATCGCCTTACCAAAGTGGTTTCCGTAAGGGAAAATCTTCACTTGATAATGTCCTGTTTTTTAGAAACCGCAGTACGCAATGCATTTGTGAAAAGAAATCATATGGTTTCAATCTTCTTTGACATGGAAAAGGCATACAATAGAACTTGGCAGCATGGAACTCTTCATGACCTTTACAGCCAGATTGTGAGGTAATCTACCCATCTTTATTCAAAACTTTTTGAAGGACCGCACTTTCCAAGTCAAGATTGGTTCGTTGCTTTTTCAAGTATATGTACAACAAGAAGGTGTACCACAAGGTTCAGTGCTCAGTGTCACTCTTTTCAGCCTGAAAATTAATTCCATTTTAAGAGAACTTCCTCCCACAGTGCATGGTTCCCTGTATGTTGATGATCTGATGTTCTGTTGTCAAGGTGAAGATATGTGATACAATGAGAGACAACTACAAATTGCTCTAAATAGAATCATAAAGTGGTCCAACAACAATGGTTTTAAATTTTCTAGCCAGAAGACGGTCTGCATGCACTTATGTCGCAAAAGAAATCTACATCCTGATCCAGAGCTGCATCTTGACGGCTCTTTTATCTGCGTTGAGCCAGAAGCAAATTTCTTAGGAGTTATCTTTGACAGAAAGCTCACTTTCTTTCCGCATATCCTAAATCTAAAGAAAAAATGCGCTACCTCATGGGTGTCATCAGAAAACCTTATAGTTTTTTGCCATTACAGACAGTATTTTCTAATATAAATGCATAATTAAAAATTTTATATTCTTAATTTTAATTATATTTTAACTTTTGTATCAAAATAATTCTTACAGGAGATATGAAATTAGTTGATTATATGCATGTCTGTGTAGAAGTGTAGGTATTTTTAAAACTGAGTTTTCCCCAAATCTTGTGAACTTTAAATTTTATTTTCTGAATTTTAATTATGTTTAAATTTTTGGATCAAAATAATTCTTACAATGTATGTATGTGTATATTTATGTGAAAACGTAGATAAGGCAGACTCAGATCATCTTCAGATATATTTGCTCTTTTTTTTTTTTTTTTTTTTTTTTTTCATTTTGAAGTTAGTTTAAAGAGGTTATGTGAAGTGCAAATAAAGTTTCTGAAATCAAAAATATTCTGCATTGGAGAAAGGATTCTCTTATTACTTATAGCCTTGGCCTGTAAAATAAAATAATACAAATAAGTTAAAATAGGAATGTGCTGAATTGTTTACTCAAAAGAAAAATACTGCATGTTTAGAGATACAGTCAAAAGTCGTTAATCCGGACTCGTCGGGACTTCGGCGATTCCGGATTATCGATTTTTCCAGATTGTATATCATCAGTTTAAATCTGGTAAGATGGCATGCAGAAATTATAAAATTAAAAATATGAAACCGTAATTTATGAAATAAACAACAATTATGATCTAAAGGGTATCAAAATTTACAAAAAAGAAAAAAAAAAAAAAGCTTAATATTTATTTGTTTACTTTATTAAACATTTCTTTCAATGTAAGTTGTTTGCTTCGTTTTCTGTGATAATACTTTCTCTTTAATTCTATAAACAGACATAATTTCTTGTTCAGTTACAGAGTTCCGCTGTTCAAGTCCTATAAATTGCTATGTCGAGAATACCGACTAATTTGTCAATCGAAATTTTTTCGTTTTCAATAACTTCTGTGTCACTTTCTTCACTATCGGAAGAAAATTATAATGACAAGGATTTTGATTTAAATCATATCAAAGACAGAATACATCGAGATGAAATACTACATTTAGTAAGGAATTATAAGCCAAATAAAATGAAAACATCTGCACTGAAGATAAGGATAGTGCTGACAGATCAACTTCCAATTTATTGTGCGCCGTTTCCCCCCCCATACCCCGCCGCAGAGCAGCGTGAAATTGATAAACAGATTTTGGAATGGTTAGGTCATTTTTTGCAGCAATTCCACTTTTTTTTAATGGACGTCTAAACATACTTTCGCTTTAGTAGATCCTTTACATATTAGTAAATATATATCGGAAATTCTATTTGACATAATCGAAAGTTCAGGCTTACTTTTATAAAATTGCTCTAACAGTCTGCAAAAAATAATAAGCCGGATCCAATTCGAAGATTAAAGAACAATGCAGTCTGCAACATTAACTGAATTAGATAATTTTAGCTTAGCTTATACCATCCGTTATACATTAAACGCGCAAGCGTAAACGTATTTTGTGCATGCGCACACGCATATTCGCAGCCGTAAAGGTTTTACTTGCATGCGTCAAAGGGACGCATGCGTAGAAAGTTTGTAGCTTTGAGGTCCGGATTATGGGTGTCCGAATTAACTACTTTTGACTGTACTAAAGTGAGGAAGACTCAGCTGTGATACCAGAATGGGAAAAACTGTCTCAGTCTTCACAATATGTCTCTTTCCCTTTTTATTAATAATACTGTTTATATAGCACATGAATGGAAAATATTTTCACCTTAAAGATGTTACTATAAGAATTCTCCTTGCCCCTAAGAAAAGGAGATTGCAAGGCTTAAATTTATGTTAAAAAAAAAAAAAAAAAAAAGTATTATCGGCAAAGAAAATGAGATATGCAAATGAAGTCCAAAGTTATGCATTTTGTAAAATTAATTAGTTATTTCTAGCGTGTTAATAAAAATGTTTTTATATAAAATTTTAATTTGAAGCAATTTTTTTTCGTCTTTCGCTGGTGGGGGGGGTAGCGGATTTCTGTATTATCTGCTGCTTGTTGAATTACATCTCCTGTTCCATGTGCTGCCCAATTTAACATTTTTGTGTATCGTCCTTTTTTTTTTTATGGTTGAATATTTTTTCCCCAGATAGAAATTATTATAAACCAGTTTTAAAAACTGAAGCTTTGTTTCCATATATGTTTTTCCTGATTGATGATGAATGAGTGAGTAAAGCATTAAAGCTGTAGTAAAGCATTAAGGGTAATATGTTTTCTGCCATGAACATATAACAATATGTTTGTTATCCATTTTAATGAATTTTTCCGCTTGTTAGTGTATTAACTATCAGTGCACATATCTCTTCATCAAACTTAATTATGTATTATTTTCTGCCTCAATACAAAATCCTGTTATGTTGAAACAGCTTTTTAAATGCAATTACATCCAGTTATATCATTACAAAAATATGGATTTGAATTTACAAATTTAATTCTTTTGTTTGCATATTTTCAGCTGAAGAAGTATTTAATGCATCTTAATTTAGATAGCTTTGTGCATTAGTATATAAAATAATTTTGAAAGACTTTTATTTTAATTTTCATTAACCAGGTACAGTTTAATTAATTTGGTATATTAATTATTTCATATTTGATGCATGCCTCCTTTCCCCCCCAAAAAAAGTGCTAATTAATTTAGTGTGAAAAAAATTTAATGTTTTAGATATATGTACTGTTTTGACTAAACAATAATTCCTCTTTAATATTACCTGTATAACTGGAGTTCATAGTGTTTTGCAACCACTATACTGTGAACTCATATTCAGACTAATTTGTTCTGATTTAAATTTGTTAATTTACTAATAAGTGAATTTGAATTAATCTTTTTATGTTAATTTAAAAATTATGATTAGAAAAAGAAGCCCTCCATATAGTGAAGCCTGATAAATTTCCACTATATAGAGAGCTTCTTTCTTTTTTGTAGGCATTTACTGCCAGTTATTATTATTTTTTTTTAAGCTTGATCATGCATCTGTGAACTTACAAATTGTAGAACTTTCTAATTATCTCATATAATTGTAGATTGTGGTTACCACTACAGCTCTTAGTTAATTCTCTGGTTTCTGGGCTATATGTAATTTAAATTGAGATTTAAGTTGAGAACTTGGTCTAAGTAATTAATGATTGTAAATAGTTGTGGAGGGATGGCTAAGCCTTGTAATTTGTTTTCCTTTTATTTATGTTAGTATAAAAGGGAATGTGAAAGTGTAAGATTGTGTCTAATAATTGTAATCTTAATAAGAAAATATATTAGAAAAACTTATTGAAATGATTAATGAATATAATTTTTACATGAGGTAGTTAAAGAAATTGTTTATTTTAAAAAATCTGAAATTTTTAAATAATTTTTATTTGCTTAAAAATTTAATTATAAAATGAATATAGTGAATTCTTTCTAAAACAAAATTATCTGCAGTTTCAAATGACTCCAGTATTCAATTTCGGGTAATGTTCATCACCAGTGTTTATTTATAGACTCAGATATATGGATCACTTTCAGAAGTGACCTGAGAAAGAAAAAATAGTTGCCACATGAGAGTTCATTATATTCTTGTTTTTATTTGCGATATTGCTTCTGTATTTTAAAATATATATTTAATTTTTCTGCAGTTTCAGTCATATATTGGATATTGTCCTCAGTTTGATGCCCTTATTGATCGTTTAACTGGACGAGAAATGCTTTGTCTTTTTGCTCGGCTGAGAGGTTTATCTGGACAACGTATGGTAAATATGGTAGATAAATTAATAAAAATGACAGACCTTACTCAACATGCTGATAAACAGTCTCAATTTTATAGGTTTGTATTTTATTTATTTTATTTTTGATTTAACATTTTATCCAATTACTGTTATAAGTATTATAGAATATTAGTATTTTTTCCCCCTTATAAATATAGTGGAGGTAGTAAAAGGAAGCTATCAATTGGAATTGCTCTCATAGGAGCTCCCCCTTTAATTTTTCTGGATGAACCAACTTCAGGTGTTGATCCTGTTTCTCGAAGGAAAATTTGGAAAATTTTAGCTCAAGCAAGAAACAGAACTGGTGCGGCAGTCATTCTTACAACTCACAGGTTAATATAAGTTTGATTTTGTGAAATTATATTTTTGATACTATGTTTTGAAGAAATTGTAAAATATTAGTTTGTCAGAATTTTCAAAATGCCATATTAACTGTTTTATAACTTTTAATATTGTGAATCAAACATTTATGCCATTTGAAATACTGAGTTTTGAGTGTGCATATGTACATTATGCACTGATATTATTCTTTAACATATGAACCATTTGTATTCTTCCCTTGAGCTTGGATCTTACTCCTGTGACCACTTTGCTAGTTTGGAGCACAAAAGAACTCAGACTATATACTTTTTACATCATCTGTGTTATTGTATCACTTGTCTTTAGGAAGAAGGGCTTTCTATCAGTAAGAATGATATCTGAAATGGGTCCTGGCTATAAAAGAAATGTGGTGATATCTCTGTTCCTTACAGGATTTAATTTTTTTTTTTTTTTTTTAGCATGGCAAGATATGTTATCAACTTGGAGGATAGCTATCTTTTAGTTAATCAGTGCTAGATATTTTTACAACAATATAGCATGGAGATGCCATTTAGATCTGTCCATTTGTAACCCAACCATCAAGCTTATGATTCCATTGCATTGTGCAGGCTGCATTTCGTCAGATGCAGAATATTGTACCTTTTTCCCTTCTCAGTCTGGCTTCTATGAACTACTTTTTGTGTCTTCTGGCCTGGCTGGAACTGTTAACTTCAAATACGTTATTGCTGTTGCCAGTTTCAGTCTTTTAAATCTTGAGTTAACTCTGCATTTCATTTAGATTTTGCAACAGTTATTTGTGTAATAGGACTTGTTTTCAAGCCCATTTTATTATCAGCTCAAGGGCTCCTATTTCTCCTATTTGAGGATGTGTAGATTTAAAATACAGGCCATGAAGATGATAAACAATCGTAGACAGTGAGCACATTCTATTGTCATCATCTGGGTGCCTGTCGTAGGATTTTATCGAGTAGTATTCTACTACAATATTGCTAATTTTGGTCAAAGAGTGACCTGACCTTGGCTGTATTTCACACTGTTATTCCCATATCAGAAATGCTACAACCACCTGCTATCCTGTACGCTTCAATATGAACAATTTATCAGGTTGTTGTAGTAATATTAAACACTTTTTGTAATGAAATACCTTAATAACACTTCACATTTGACACATTTGTTTAATATTTTGTTTTATTAGTTTGACTTCACATTTGTTTAACAACATTCTCTTTTCATATTTGTCATGAATAAAATGCACCCATAATGCTCCTTTGCATAATCTTATACATTTACAAAAAATTACAAAGACTGTGTTTACTTGTATATTTAATTGCGAAGATAAAGTTTCAAACTAACATCTTATAAAAATCAGCATGAGTTTTTATTTTTGTTGGAACTTATAAATCAATAAGAAGAATAGCTGATAATTTATTTTTTCCACATTTGCATAGATAAAATATTGACAGCTGAAGCAAAACTAAAATTGAGATTTAGAAGTCTAATATAGCAGTATATTTTAGAAATTCACAAAGCTGTTTTAAAACTACTTTAAGTATATATATGTATATATATATATACGTCATAATAAAAGCAAGGGAAAAAACGGAACACTGTAGATGCGTGATTATACCCATATTGAAGAAGATTTTGATTGCGTAGTATGCTAGTAATCAAACTTGGTAACATCTAAAGAACTTGGCAGTCGAGGCAGTTTTAATTCCATTTTTATTTCCAATTGATATTTGTGGCCACAATCACTTGGCACTCTAGTCGTGCCTTCCACAGAAGATTTACATTTTTGATATTGTTGGGATAGAAAGCAAGCCAGCGAAATCACATCTTAGCACAGTAGCGAGCAAAAGCTGAAGAGCGTCGTTATGAAAGATGGAAGCACGCGAAGAGAAAAGTTTTGGTTTACAATTCGGTGATTGGTCGAGAGGGATCTGCATTATGGGTTAAGTAAGATCGCATGATTAATTTGAATGACGCAGTTTAGACTTAAGCGCTATTTTTAGGACAGATAGAGGAAGTTCTAAAATGAAATGGAAAATAATGGAAGTTATAGTGAATTAAGTTTAGAAGTTTGCTTTCATATTTTTTATCTTACATATATATATATATATATATTAAAAGAAACACAACAAGTTCCCCATGTACCACATAGTATCACATGGAGCTTACAGAAGTATGAAACACAATACAAAATAAACAGAAGAATTTTTAAGTATATTTAAGACTAAATTTTATATAGTTTTGAAGTTTTAAATGGTGTTTTTTCATATATTGTGTGAAGGGTACTTAAAACTGACATCCCAATAACTTAATTTTGATGATAATACTATATTTCTGAATGAGATTGATGCTTGTGCTTGGATTGTTACAGTGTTAAAAAGGTTAAATAAATGTTAAAAAGGTTAAATATGTTAAAAAAGTTTTACAATTTTATTTTTTGCAGCATATTTCTTCTGCTATCACTTACTCCTGAACTTTCATATGATTTTTATATGGCTTGGCTAAATATTCTGTTATTTTTTTTAAATCAAAAATGTGATTTGTAGTATTTAAAATTGGCTATCTTTTCTAGGGATTACCGAATATTACCCATTTTCTTTTCTTCTTCTTCTTCCTCCCCCTTATCTTAAATGGGTTGTTTAATCAGCATGATAACAGGACAGACTAATCATGTCTTTAAACATCCAATTATCTAGTGATCATCAAGCTTCACTGTTCTCATCTAGTGTATGTTAAGGAATATGAAATAAGTTTGTGGCTATTCTTTTACATGTTTTTCATTGCTGAATGTTTTGAATTTTCAAATAGTTTGAGAAATAGCTTAAGAACTGCAATCTTTTTTCTTATTTATGTCTGGGGAGAAAAAGTAAAATACTCATGTTAATTTTTGAAATCATGTATAATTGATTGTATTATGTTCTCCAGTAAATTTCCAGTAACACATTTGCAGTTTACAGTATTTACCATTTTGATTTCTTGATATTATATTATTGATTTTCTTGATATTGGAAAAGTCATTATTAGTAAATGTTAGGTGTGTAAAAAAAATGTATTACTTGTGACTTATATATGTAAAAAGAAAGCTATGTGGAATTTGTTATATATGTATGAAATTATAATGCTTGCTTTTTAAAGAAAGCTGACAATAATGATAAATTTTATTTCTTTTATCATTCTTGTTAGCTGTTGTACAAAAAACTGATTAAGGTATTACTTTTCTATTAAAAGATACAAATAATAAAAGTGCTATAAGAATTAGTGGTTGTATTTCCGTATGCATGAGATGTAAAATGTGAAAGAAAACTACTAACTTTAATCTAGCAATAGTCCTTTTAATTCTTTATTTTAATTTGGCTGGAATTTACAATGCATCATCTGGAAAACTAATCTGCATTATGTTGTGTTATTAATCCTGCAATGCAGAAAGCTGTCCAATCATAGTCTAAATTTTAAACAATAAAACCAACTCTATAAATACTCTCTGCTATAAACTATAAATGAACTATAAAAAATTGTGGTGTGCTTGTTTCACCCATAGTGATGTGTAAATGAGGATGTGGGTCGTCAGAATTAATTATCAAAAAATAAAATTGTATCCTGTTATCTACAACAGTGCCTGCAAGTTTTTTCTTCTCCATTGTGTCATTTTATGTATCTGCACTATCTTCAAATCCTCAAGTCATCTGCGAAATTATCAGATACTATTTAAAGATATTATTTATCAGATATTATTATTAGATACTATTTAAAGATATTATTATTAGATACTATTTAAAGTTAATTCATTATTTAAAAACTTTTTACCTTGTATATATTTATCATTTTAAAATAGTTAAGTTTTTTAATCACGTGGAGGTAAATGATATGAGAATATAGTTGAATGTATAAAGAAAAATAAACTTTATAATGAAATTTTGTGAAAATAAATAACAAAATTAACTTATTGGAGAAGGACCTGGCTGATGCACTTTTGCATTCTTTCATAAATTTGAGATATACAAAGGATTTTTAATTTGATACTTGTTTTTAGTTTTATAACTGATTAGTTTCAGAATTGCTTATTATTTCAGTGTAGTATTTAATGCTGTTAACTACTAGAGAATTACTATTAAATTATAGTGTGCCGAAAAATTACACTGTTAATTTTTTTCTGTAAATCTGTAATCTGATGTTTTAATCTGTAATCTTGAATTTTTTATTATTTGTGTTTGCTTAACTTCCCACCCCCATCCCATAAGCATAAGTTAGCAATTTTGCTCAGCTGATGAGTGATTTATGATGAACTGTATGACAGCTTTGTTTTGATAAAGTGTATTCTTTAAATTACTATTAATGTTAGAGTATGACGGTATCACAAATATTATATGGAAAAGATAGACATGGATAGTAAACATAGCACTGAAGTATTTGTACCGCCTTCAAAAACCAGCAAAATTTTGCTAAAATTTGTTTAGTTTTTATGAAGTTTTTGTTTTCTATATTTTGAGCTTGTTTAAGACATACATGTAGTATTAAGTTTCTAAGGGGGAAAATACAAAACAATACAATCAGATAAATTTTATTATTTCCAAAAAGTTACTGATTTTATGTGGAAATAATATAACTAATTTAAAAATTAGTATTTTTCCTTTCAAATATTGTTGGTGTTAGTGTATTGAGAATATGGCAAAGCACACTAGGGCTATCTGCCTAAGGGAAGGGATCCTTCGTGGAGGACTTTCTAAGGGAAACTAACTCGTATACACGTTACACATGGGGAAAACTACGAAAATGCCCATGCAGCCAGCCCGTTCGCGGGGATTCGAACCTCGGACTGAACTACCAGTGTTCAACGATTTTTTTACCGCTCGGCCGCTGGCGGGCCCTTTCAAATATTTTCATTTTCTATAATACATATTTTAAATCTATGAGGAGTGTTTTTAACAGTATATTTATGAAGTAGATCATATTACTTGGTTATTTTATATTAATTCATTTTGATTACTTTGCAGCATGGAGGAATGTGAAGCACTGTGTAGTAGGCTTGCAATCATGGTGAATGGCCGCTTTCAGTGCTTAGGCTCTATTCAGCAGTTGAAATCAAAGTATGGTAAAGGTTATACACTTATTATTAAGATGAAAAGGGAAATGCAGAATGATCCACAAGCCATGCCTGCCATCAAAACATATGTTCAAAGTAACTTGCAAGGTGCATATCTGAAAGATGATCACCAAGTAAGATTAATTAGTTTTTAAACTACTAATTATATGTTTCCAGTATGTACAAGTTCTGCTGTTTATTAATATAATATTTTTAAATTGCAACCTTGAGCTCTAAAATTGGAACACTTTAAAATGTTAAATTATCAGTTTTTTATAAACATGTTGGTTGGTTCACTTAAAAATTAAAATAATACTACTGTGATTGTTTTCATTATTTATTTATTTATTTATTTATTTATTTTAATTTTTCAAGTCATTCTTTAATGTTAAATGGATGCATTCTGTCTTCAAATTCCTATATGCGAAAATTTTCTGGAATTTATATTCACAAAGATAAAACTTCTTGCTGGTTATGCATAAAACAGTAGAATTAATGTTGTATTAATATGGCTTTAAAAATTCTTTTATTTTGTCCTTATAATTAGTTTTAATTCTTTGCATATGAAATATGGGAATTATGTATGATTTTCTTGCCATATGAATTAGATGTGTATGATATATGCTGAATTTTAATATTCATTTTATTCTTATATAATGTGCATAATAATCACGATAGTTTAATCCAGCGATTTTCAATCGGTGGTACGCAAAAGAAAAGTAGGTAGTCCACAAAGAAACAAAATATTTTAAACTATTAAATTCAAAAATTAAGTACCTGAACATCCTGTTTAAATTTTTCTCTTAACATTCGTAAATTTAGTAAATTTATGGGATCTGATCTTTGTTCGAAGTTTAAAGCCCCGCATAGACCTCAGCAAAATAATCAGTTTTTGTTTTCACAAATATTCTTTTAGACATAGACATAACAAATCTGTCATAAATAATGTTTTTAAAAACAGGGTTAGAAATGGATGTTGCATGTAATAGGAAATAAAAATAAGTTCTATAAAACAATAACAGTTTCTCATTAATTCAAGAGTTGATCGATTATTAGCATGTTTGTTCTATGTTGCCACCATTTCTGGGCTTATATTGCTCTATTTTCAATTAGAATCTTTTTTTTTCTAACCTCGATTTGCTGTCTCTAACAGCTGGCATTTTGTCTTCCTTACTTTTCTATGCGATTTGAGAACATTCTCATTTGTGATATATTGTGCATTTAAATATTTATGAAAAAATAATAAAACAAACCTAGATTTTCAAAATGAAAAAATGGCTAGGTTTGACTAAACAGAAAAGTGATGATTCACAGATGATTGATTCAAGACAATTTATTAGCACTAAGAATATTGAAAACAAAGAAAAATTGCTCATAGAAAATCTAATGAAAGTTGTTTATCATTTGGGTTTACTTGGAATGGAGATGAAATGGACCCTCAGCTATTTTCCAATCAAAATATGAAACCATTGTTTCCTAAAAGACATCTTGAATCTATGCATGCCTATTTAAAGGATAAATCTGAAGAATATTTTAAGAGGAAATTATTGGAGTTCAAAAATAATAAACAGGTAATGAAAGGTTTTGTTTTTTCAAGTGAAAAAGCTTTAGGAGCTAATTACCTATCAAGCCTAAGAACTGCCAAGACTGGGCAGGCTCACACTATTGGGAAAAAAAAAACCTTCTATTACCAGCAGCTAAGCGTTATTTATGATTTTATGGCAAGAGATGAGCAGTGAACGTGAAACGCTTTTGTTACATGCTGAAGTAAGGTGGTTATCCAAAGCTTTAAATCGTCTTTTTGAACTTTGATCAGAAATTAAAATTTATTCCTGGTGATTCAAAATCTGAATTGTAAAAATTTTTATTTAGTGAATTATGATTGGCGCATTTAGCATATTTTTGGAAAGTTAAATGAATTAAATTTAGGATCACGAGGACAAAGTGTTAATTTCTTTACCATTAGAGATAAAATAAATGGAATGATAAAAAAAAAAAAAAAAAAAACTTGAGCTAATAATCAGAGTTGGATAATAATATTTTAAGTTTTTTACCACTTTTAGAATGTTTTCTAACTGTAAATAAGAGAAGAATTAGAATCCGTCATTAAAAATCATTGTTTGTCATTGATAAATAATTTCAACAGCTGTTTTCTGAAGGATTATGAAAAAGAAAATTGGATTAGAAATTTATTTTGTTCAGATGTGCCTGAAATTTTACCTTGTGAAGAAAATGAACAATTGATAGAAATTTTCTGTGATCGGACTGAAGATTTCAAAAATAACACACTTGTTAACTTTTGGGTGAACAAACAAACAAACAAAAAAAGGGTGGGGGATTTAAAGACATTTCAAATAAAGCTATTAAATTTTTATTGCCTTTTTGCACAACTTATTTGTGTGAACAAGGATTTTTTTCCATGTTATATTTAAAAAATAAATATAGAGCAAAATTAAAAGTGGATCCCAATTTACGTTAAAAACTAAGTGAAATAAGACCTGACAAAGAAATTGTTCTATCTTAAACAGGCCCAAATTTTGCACTAAATTTTAGAATTTTAGTATTATAACTTAAAATTTGATAATTAAAATGGTAACCAATATTTAATTTAATATTTTTCATGTGTGCATATTTAATACAAATAGCCAATGGGTTGTGCAAATGAAAAATATATATTTTTTTAATATTTCTAATAAGAAATTGAAAAATAATCATTGTAAAATGTGGTGGTGGTACTAAAGTTTTTCAGTTTTGTTTAGATGGTACGCATTAGTTGAAAGGTTGAGAACCACTGGTCTAGTCTATTGATTATATATCTAAAGCAGAGTAAATTTCCTAATTTTTTTTTTAAGTGAATGGCATTGAAGGAAAAGAGTTGATTTGTCTCTATTTTACAATAATGAAAATTATTTTTGACCTATGAAAGAGAAGTTGCATAATTAAAATAGGAAAGATAGAGGTTAACTAATTGTTTTGTGAAATATTAATTTGCTTGACTTTAAATGTCCTGATATTTCCAAGAACAGAAAAAATGGGAAAAGAAAAGTAATTTATATTATTTAGTAATTTCAGTTTTTCAATTAATGTGAATAACACCTTTCATTCATTTAAAATAACTAAAAAAACTTGAATGAAGATGTGTTTTTCTTGATAGAAAATCAATTATATTTTATTATTTTTAATGTAATTAGGATATTTTCTTGATATAAATAAGTGTTTTAAAGAAAAATGAATATTATTTTACTGCAGTTGTGTTTCATAATTTCTACAAATTGTGAATTATTTTGTGATTTTGTAAATATGTGTAACTGTAGGCCCATCAAATGATGTAGTTGATAATTTTAAATTTAAATTGATTTTACATGCATAATAAATAATATGTGTTATTTTGCATTTTAGGGCATGCTTCAGTATCATATTGTTGATCCTAATGTCACTCTAAGTCTTCTGTTCAGGTTTATGGATGATATGAAGCAAAGATTCAATCTTGAAGATTATTTAATAAGTGATACCTCTCTTGAACAAATATTCTTGGCATTTGCCCGAGCCCAAAGATATTCAGAATGATGATTCATGTTGAAGAAAGTTGGCTGGTGGTCAGCTTTATGTGATAAATGTTTATAATTAAATTAATTATATGTTGTGTGTGATAAGAATTGCTAATGATACTAAAGTTACATGGTACTGAATTGCAACATTAAAAATTTCATAATGATTGGTTATTACAGAGTGCATCAAATTGGAAGTCTATTATTTAGGTTTCAGAACACAAGATTCAAATTTTTTAGAAGTAAATAAGAAAGTATATATTTTCAAATTTGCATAGAATTTTTATGTTTAATTTGCATGATATTACATGGACCAAATATAATGATTTATTCATAAAATAATAAATGTTTAATTTTATGAAGTATTCATTTTGAGCTTCATAGAAGTGTTTAGTTAAAAGCAAGATCTTAAAGGCTATGTTATTTGTTTAAAAATTACTTTTTACAATTTATTGGTTTTATATATATAAATGAGAAAAATTTTATTTCTTAATACTTTTAGGTTTGATAGTTTAAATCTTATGAGAAATTTATTTCACAACTAAGTACTTTGGTTATTATAGCATTGGCAGATATATTCTAGATGAAGAACCAAATCACTGTTTTATATATATTATATATATGATATGAAAGAAAAATACTAATTTTAATTTAGCAGTAGTCCTTTTAATTCTTTATTTTAATTTGGCTCTGTTTCCTTCCTGAAATCTAAACTTCATCACTTGGAATTTAAAAACTAATCCACATTATGTCATCTACAGTGTGGTGAGCTCTTGTCCCATCGTAGTCCAAAATTTAAATGAAGAAATCAACTCTATAAATACCCCAGCAGCTGAATACACACTCACATCTCCTGTGTTCCTCTCACTATGCAAATGCGTGTCATTCTGCTGTCTGCTTCATCTAGTGTCTCTCAAGACGTGATCAGTTATATATAATTGTGAGGTGCTTGCCACGCCCGTAGTCATGTGTAAAAGGAGAATATGTCTTCAGAACTATCCATCAAGAAATAAAATTGTACCTTGTTATTTATGCCAGCATCTACAAGTTTTTTTCATCTCTGCTGTGTCATCTTATGTACTTACACTATCTTCCAATCCTCAAATCATCTCTGCATAGAATTATCACTCACATGCATATATACATAACCTGCTTATTTGATAATTCAAGCACCAGTGCCTGTGTCAAGCCAAAAAAATGTGATATATGCGTGCAAAACCTAAATAAATTAATTAAATTTTAAATTTATGTATTACATTAAAAAAATTACATATTTATTACAGATGTCATAAATGAAAAGGGCTGAAAGAACAGGTTGTGAAAAAGTATTGGATATATGTATGCTAATTATTTCAGTAGGTGTTACATCATGTTTTGCAATATGATTTACCATGAATTTGAAACTTGGTTCTAATTTTTTTCCTCTCACTTAATTAGATGTACGCATATATTCATGTATTAATGATAGTGCTAGACTTTACATTTAATAATTTAATTCTCTGTTGTCTTTCTTCATTTTCATATGCATTCTGTTTTCATGTATGCTAAGGTGTGCTTGTATTTAAAGTAGATTTTGCTGTGATTTTTACCAGACTTCTGTAACAGGTTGCATAAAATTTTGTAATTCATCTCAGAATTTTATTCCTTTAAAATCCTAAGGAAAGAAGTGACATGTTCTTACCCTCCCGTAAGAGAATAAAAATTAAGCAGTACTTGTATGCATAAAAACATATATTTTGTTCACATTGACATTAAGTATTCAAATCATTACATGCTAATTAGTGTCTCAAAATAGATGTAAATATGATATGTATTACAAATACATTCCATAATGTTAGAGAAAAATTAAAGTATATTAATAACAAATGGCAGCCCAAGCAACAACTTTTTTATATGGCGGCACTTAATGTGTTGAAAATCCTCAAAATATGTCTGTACTTAAAAAGAAACAGTCAAGCATTTTTTATTTTGGAATTTGTAAATTAAACATATTTCTGATTTTACAAAGATTGAAAAATTTCATTATCTTTTACTTCTTTATTATTTACAAAGTCATAGACACTTGAATTTTTAAATATTTTTGTATAAATTATATTTTATAATTTATTATTGTGAATTATGGAATATATGAAAATGTTAGATGCGCGTATTAGCTAAAATGTGACTTTACAATGTTGTGGTGTGTTACTATGTTGTGACTTACCTCACTTTTCTGATAGTAGTGTAAGAACACATCCACAAATTTCATTGTGATGAGCAGTGCACAATAGCATCTCTTGTTGGCATTGGCCTTGGGCCCCTCATAGTTAACAATGTGACTTTGCTCGGGTTTGTCCCAATTTTGAAGAAGAATCCCCCAGGGAATGGGTCCAAGAGTCTCTCACCCCTTTTCCTCTACCGCCAAACCACTTTAGAGGTCTTTCAGCTTGCCTTGTATTTTAAGTACACCCATGCCACAAATATGTTATACACTTTCAGAAATCCAAGCCTTCTCCGGTATTTAAAACCAGGCCCAATGATATGGCAGCCAGAAATGCTAATCACTATATTGATCAGGGCAGCTTGAGCTTACTGTGAATATTTTTGAGTACTTTCTAGTTGCTGCTTTTAAGCCATGTGCCTTTTCAGTATTTTTTACACTTAGCTGTATTGTCCAGTATTAAATTAGTACAAAACATGAATGATGAAATTTTAAATTGATTTCTTGAAGCAGTTTTAAAAAAGCATAGTACAAGAAATTTTTAACATTTAAATTTTTAAAATTCTCGTAGTACTATACAGTGGTACCCTTGGTGTAATGTCATTCATCCATTTCAGATCCTTAGACTTATATCAGACTGGATGAGTACCAAATAAACTTTTTGAATAGAAAATAATTAATCCACTCTTTAATTGTTATAGTACTATTTAGTCAAATATATACTGTATATAAATATTTTACTGTTATCCAGATTAAAAGCAATTTCTGACATGCTCTAATGTTGCTAATTTTTGTTTGGTAGCAGATTTCGTCTCCTTTGCTATGTTACCTTATTTTTTAGCATCTCTGTTTTTCGCAGTTGTAGATACTATCATTTTTGGCATGCAGCATGAAGTAACCAAGTCTTGAATGTGCATGCCATCTTCATATTTTCAACAATCTCTTTTTTCATTTCGATGGTATGTGATCCTAATCATTTTCTACATTTCTTGACTCTTCACAGTAACTTTCTGAAAACTTGTTGTTAACACATTTTAAAGAAATTGGGTGAGAAAACACAAAATCATGGGAAAATGCACAGTTATAGTGAAGGTTGTATACTGAATAGTAGGTACAGGCATACTGACTTTCACTGATGGTTGTAACATTATCTCAAAAGTGGTATACAAGAGTAGTCCTTGCTGTCGTGATTCATCGAATTTTCGGGTCATATTCCAAACAGGTATCATATACCAGACAAAACATTTGCATCCTAACAGAATGTATACAAAATTGGATTATTTCAGAACAAATGCATTTTAAAGTGCCACCGTATTTTTAAATATAATGCTAATTAATAGATATGTTTTACATCTTTTTTTTTAATTCTAATTTATTAACATATCTTTGCAGTATTTTTCCCGCATAATAATATTATATATATATTATTTAAAACTATATGAATCAAAAATTTATTTTTTTAATCTTCCTCTTTATTCTAAAATCGTAATACTTCTCTGCATGCGTCATTCAAATTAAATCATTGCTATCTACTAACCGCTAATGCAGATGCCTCTTGACCAATCAAACCAAATAACAAACAAAAACTTTCCTCTTGCGTGCTTCCATCCTTCATAAACTACGCACTTCAGCTTTTGCTCTATACTCTGCTAAGGTTAATTTCACTGGCTTGCTTTCTATCTCAACAATATCAAAAATAAAATCTTCTGTGGAAAGGCACGACTAGAGTGCCAAGTGATTTGTGGCCGCAATATCAGTGCCAATAAAAATGGAATTAAAACTTCTCGACTGCCAAGTTCTTTAGATATTACTAAGTTAGCATTACTAGCATACTACGCAATTAAAGTCTTCTTCAGTATGGGTCTAATCACGCATCTACAGTGTTCCGTCTCTTCCTTTGCTTTTATTATGACATATATATTATCAAGTTGGCATGATCCAGAATTTTTACATTTTTCTGAATAGTAATTTTCAATTTTACATTGACACATTTTGCATATTACAGTTAATAGAAGATTAGCAAATTAACATGCCTCTCTCCCTCCCCCCTTTTAAAAAAAAGTTATTAGTATGGTAGTTTTTGTTATGTCAGAATTCAGTTGGGAACTGTTTGTCGTAAGTTGTGTGATTTTTAAAATAATTCATTATTGATTTATATATTTTCTTGGTGCTAGTCTGAATTTGTTCGGTTATTTTTATTGAAAAATCTTTGCACAACATGTATATTTTATCTTTAGATTTTGTAAATATCATTTGAAATAACTGTTTGTTTATTATGGAAGTATTTGATATTATTAAATACTTAAATTGTTACTTGGAATAATTATTTTTGCTAATATACATTCATTTTAGTGTAAATAATATATAAACTTGTAAATAAAACTAAATCTGTTATCACTGATTCAAATTTATACTAAGTTATTAAATCTATCCTAAATCTATGTTTTAAGTAGTTACATAAATCAAAAATAAGTGTCAGCTAAATAATAGAAAATTATTTAATGTAACGCGTAGTTTTGAGCAGCAAATTTATTTATTATTTGAGTTTTCATGAAAGAGCTTTTTTTTTATTTTATTTTTATTAAATTACTTTGAAATTTGAAAATTTTTTTAATTAGTCCCCATTTTACTAATACTACAGCCGATGCATAAATATAAGTGTAAAAAATGGGGAAAATCTTAGAAATTTATCAGCTTTTACCCAGTACCCCTGTGCCACAAAATGTATGAGTAGCTTTTGAATGTTAGTATTTTGGAATGCATAAGATATTTTCATGTTAAACGAATACATTTTTATACTGAAAATTGCTTAGAATATGTAATTACATAAATATTTTTAACAAGGAAACAGATTTTCAGATAAATTTTTATACAGTAAATCATACTTAAAATTCAACTACACATGAATAATTTTATTTCTGATTAAAAAATTTATCTTAGTCACTTCAAAATTACGCCACATATCTCCAATTTTATTACTTACTTGAAATTATGTATGGTCCATTTTCATAAATAAATTCAGCAAAGAAAAGAATAATAATTATGATTATACCAGGTGACCCAAAAGTCTGTTAACATCTGAAAATTCAATAATTCACAGAATAAGTAAGTAGAGAGGTAAAAATGACTCACATGCTTGAAATGGTTTAAGTCAATTACCATACTGGTAATTGTCTTACTGGTAATTGATCATACTGGTAATTGACTTACTAGTATGGTGCGGAAGAAAAGGAAAAGTTGGAGAGTTTGACAAGTCAATTTTCTACTTTATTTTGAAGAGAGAATTATCCTCAATCAGATTGTGAGCTACAGCATTGATCCTGGAAACGCGGCCCCTGTAAATGCCCCTTTCATTATGATAAACTTAAAGAATAAATTATAGAAGCTCATATCCAAGAAATAAAAAAATGTAATGTAAAGTGGCCCTTACATCAGCCTGTTTGAATTGTTGGAAGAAAAATAATCTCCCACCTACAGATTTTAAAGCATGTCGATTCACAGTTGACTATCCTACTCTCATAATTGAAGATATTTTTCGCAAAGTTAAATCTAAAAGGTATATGACTACTTCAGATCTGGCATCAGGATACTTTCAAACTGGCAAAAAGCCAAAAGACATTCCGAAAACCGCATTTAGCAAAACTCTGGCGTTTATGCCTTTCTAAGAAAGCTGTTTAGCTAATGTGGAGATCCCGCAACTTTTCAAAGGGCATGGACATTATTTTGAGACCGGTCCCAGAAAAAGCACATTTATCTATCTAGAGGATATAATAATTACTAGTGAAACGATTGAACACATTTAAGATCTACATCAGTGTAGTCAACCTTTTTATACCTACCACCCACTTTTGTATTTGCGTTAGTAATAAAATTTTCTGATCGCCCAGTGGTTCCACAGTAATGGTGATTTACGAAGTGGGCAAATAACTTTCTTTATAAAATTTCTAAAGCAGAGTAACCGCATTAAGTTAAAGCATTTAGTAATAATTACTTACCAAATAATTTTTATCAGATTTTCGCGAAGTTTGGTAGAATAAATCTTTATAAAACAACTTACTATAGTTAAATCTGTCTTTTTATTTATACTTTGCATACATAGAAATTACACTGGTTAACGGAATTATTAGTGGGATCCCTGGGGTCGATGCTGAGAAACTAAATATTGAATTTGCAGTTTAATTTTTGTGAGGAACAAATGATAAGAAATATTCTGGCAGTTTCTTTCTTTGGTCATAATATGATTACCAACACGAAATTCTGATTCCACAAGGCATGAGGTAGGGAAAGGTATCAATAAACTGAATACCATTTTCCACATATTTCATATAGGACTAACATTTTTTTTTTTTTTTATTTTGCCATAAGTTTTCATAGCTACCACTATCGAGTTTATGTTTATGTTCTTCTAATTTCTAATGGTTCTTCTTGGCAAGTTGTATCAGGCTCTTTAATGTCTGTGGTGAAAGGATTTTTCATATAGTCATGTACCTTCAACTTCAAAATACTTTAAAATCTCTTTTTTTTTTTTTTCTTCAATTTAACCGTTTGACTGCTACACGGCGCAAAAGCGCTGTGTTCATTTGTTTCGAAATGCGCTGCGAGTTTCAGTGTGTCTTTGTTGCTCCTTTGGGTATGAACGTAATCTGACCTCACGTGTACTTTATAACATGAGTGTTTTCTAAAATAACTAACTGTGTTGCGGTTTTCGAGACAAATGAATGCAGCACTTTTGCGCCGCGTAGCAGTCAAACGGTTAAGTTCATAAAGGTGGCTACTGAATCTGCCCTCTGGAGTTACACCATCTTTTATAGATGATAATTCAGAAAACTGATGAAATTCTGTCTTAAACAAATTATGATGAAGAAGTTCAAAATAAATAATAGCACGATACTTTGGCAACCTATAAGAGTTGTATTAGTCCTTTGAAGCAACAAACTGACATCGTTAAATCTCTTGAAAACATCTGCCAAGGAAACGGCATAATTTTTTGCTGTTTTTAAGTGTTGATGACACAGAATGTTCTCATTATTACTTTCAAAAAATTGTATGAGACTGCATATAATGCTATAAATGTAGCCAAAAATGTTGACAGCCACCAAACTTCTGTGTGCAAAAGTAACTTAACAAAATCTTCATTACTGACCTGGCAAAGCTGCCGAAACATTCTATCATAATTTTTTGTGTTTGATTTTCTCATATTACTTTCAAAAAATTGATCTTTTTTACGGCAGCCACCAAACTCGGTGCAAAATAACTAACAAACTTTCAACTGAGGGTGCCGAAACATCTATGTGTTTGATTTGATCTTTTACGGTCGGATTCTTCGTACGGTCCTTAAAGTTCTTAATTTTGGCCAAAATCAGTAGAAGGTCCTTAATTTTTAATCTCTGAAATTTCTCTCTCTTTTTACGACTGCCATTTTGAGTGTGAATTAGCATTTTGGAGGAATTTTTGGCAATTCACTGACGTATATGGTACCTTTTGAATGGATCAGGGGGTTATAATTTGTTTCTATTTCTAATATAAATGATGGATACTCGAGTTTCTAAGCAAGAAGTGAAACATAAGCATTTCGAAATTCATTTTTTCTAATAAAGAGCTCTTGAACAACTTTTCGCTTTTGGGGTTGTGAATCCTTTTTTTTTAAATGGTTCTAAATTTGACAACTTGTCAACATTTTGGCAATTTTGAGATCAGTTTCTATAGAAAATTTTTAATTCCGAGATCTGAGAATTTTTCGGCGATTTTTTTTAAAACATTATATCATTGATACATTTCGTTAAAATAATGGTAATATATTAGAATTATATTTAAAAGTAACATTAAAATAAAACATTTTTATTTTCGCTGTCATTTATAAAGTTTCATTTGGCAACTTAATACAATTTTTAATCTAAAAATAAACAAGTATAAGCTATAAAGTATAATTTACGAAACAGCTCTAGTAAAAAACAAAATTAGCTATGTAATTATTAAAATGTCTTCTTTTTAATTTTTCATAGTAAGCGTTTTCTCATGTAATTGTCTCAGATATTCAAATCTCAGAATATGCATCAGTTCTCTATAAAATTTTTTTACACTTTTCGTTTCTTTTTTTTTTTTTTTTTCAAATATTTGGCTTTTTGCTGTACAGAATTAGTTGGGATAATTTTTCTTTAGGATTTTTGGCGTTGCAAGCATGGAAAGCTTAGAAGAATTATTTATACACACGACTAGAAGATTCGAGAAATATGTGACAAAATGAAAATGTCTCCATGGTATCAACATATCAACACGTAATGATGCATTGTACAGAAAGTTTGCGATGATTCTTACTTTTGGAGAACGT